GAACAAAATTAGCATAATGATATCACCAGTGACATGCTGATGTGAACAGGGATGATTCCACAGGGTCCTAACTCTAGAAGAAGAGCTACAGGTGGTCAGTGCCTGTCAGAGAATCAGTTTCCTCCAGGGATGAACTCTGCGTAAGTGTCTAATCCCAGTAGTCAGCCCTGATTGGACATACTCATATAAAGAAACGTTAAATGGGCTCAGTAGCTTATATATATGTGTGTGTATGTAATAAATATATACACATAGTAATAAAGAGATCATGAATTTGAGAGGGGGACATGAGTTGGAGGGGAAGAGGGAAGGTGATATAGATATATGAATATGAAGTTCTCAAAAATACACACACACACACACATATATATATAATAGATACACTGAAACAGAACCAGGGAAAGGTCAATCCAAAGGTATAAAGGAGTAGTCAAGCTCTTTTACACAGAAAAATCTCATAAAGATTTTAACTTTGCCAATAATTATATATTGTGTATTATTATTATTATATCATTTTGTGACCTTATCAAAGTCATTTCAATGAGCTATTGGGGAAACATCCCAAGCTGGAATACACTGAGCAACAGAAAGTAGGACTTTTAGAACCAGAGAACAAAGACAAGCTACAACTTTGCTGTCAAAACAGAAAAGAGACAAGCCCAGACAAGCCCTGGGGTCAAGAAGGTTCATAAAATGCATCATGGAAGACTGAGGGTGTATAAGCTTGAGTGCAAGTGGGAAGTGTTCACGTAGTGGGAGGGGGTGGTAGTGGCTCATATATGTGTCTTCGGAAGAAAATGAGAGACTTGATGAGGATAGATCCAAGTTAGTGACCTTAGAGAAGGGAAAAAAAATGGGAAATGTAGTAGGATATTTGTATTGAACGCTGTTAGTGTTATTGTCTGAATGTGACATGTCTCTACTAGCTCCTGTGTTTGAACATCTAGTCCCCAGCTGGTGATGGTGTTTTGGAGTTGTGTCTTGTAGGAGTCATAGGCTGGTTCTATCTCCTGGTCTACTGAGCTGTGAGCAAGTTTCTGCCTGCCACACTCCTGCATCACAGAGCCTTCTGCCACCATGCCTTTCCTGCCATGGATTGTATTCTCTCAATCTGAGCCAAACTAAAAGTCTCCCCTAAAGCTGCTGTTTGCAGGTATTTGGTCAGTGATGAGAAAAACAACTAATATAATGAGCTTTTCACTACCGTGACAAAATGCCTGAGATGACCAGTCTAGAGAGGGGGAGGTTTATCTTAGCTTAGAGCTTCCCTGGCTGTAGTCTCTGGTTACTTAGTCCTTGTTATGGTTTGTATATGCTCGGCCCAGGGAGTGGCACTATTAGAAGGTATGGCCTTGTCGGAGTGGGTGTGTCACTGTGGACGTGGGCTTTAAGACATTCATCCTAGCTGCCTGGAAGTCAGTCTTCTCCTAGCAGCCTTCAGATGAAGATGTAGAACTCTCAGCTCCTCCTGCACCATGCCTGCCTGGATGCTGCCATGTCCCTGCCTTGATGATAATGGACTGACCCTCTGAACCTGTAAGCCAGCCCCAGTTAAACGTTGTCCTTATAAGACTTGCCTTGGTTTATGGTGTCTGTTCACAGCTGTACAGTCCTACTGCTTTGAACCTGTGGCGGTTTGAATGAGAATGGCCCCATAGGCTCATATATTTGAATACTTGACCACCAGAGAATGGCACTGTTTGAAAGGATTAGGAGGTCTATCTTTGCTGGATGAAGTGTGTCACTGGGGGTGGGAGGTGGGCTTTAGAGTTTCAAAAAACCCATTCCAAGCCCAGAGTCTTTCCCTTTCTGCTTTCTGTGACTCTGGATGTAGAACTCTCAGCTCCTTTTCCAGCACCATGTCTGCCTGTGTGCCACCATGCCCACTGCCATGATGATAGTGGACTAAACTTCTGAATGGTAAGCCAGCCCCAATTAATTGTGTCTCTTCACAGCAGTAGAACACTATGACAGTACTGGAAGTACATCATGGCGGAACAGCCCATCTCATGGTTAACACCTTCAATGACAGAGCCCCAGGGACCTACCTTGCATACATGGACCTTGGGGAACACTTCTCCAAACCAGGGAAAAAAAATTGCTAATCTGAGCCAGATGCTAGTCCCAGCTCTTTTGCATGGATTCTGGGAAACTGAACTCAGGTCCTCGTGCTTGTATAGTGAGCACTTTAGTGGCTGAGCCACTTCCCCAGACCATGTGTGATTTCTCAAAAAGAGCTTAGTGCAGACAAGTACTGCAGAATAAAAGAGCAGTGAAGGACTGTACGAGTGTGATAAAGATGAGGGATGAAACTGGACTAGAGAAGGTACGAGGACTGGAAGGTGCAATGTTAGTGGAAAACGGCATGATCTGAAGACAGGAGTGCAGAACGGGACAGACATGGGTGCTGGAATCAGATACTGGGATTCGGTCTGCTATTCCTGATGAGGAGACTTTGGATATGGACACACAATTTGACATCAAAGATCACACAGGGGTTGGGGGGACAAAAATTCAAGTGGACACTCAGAACCAGGGTGTTATTGAGTACAGGTTGATGGTGCAGGATTAAGAAGCAAAAAAAAGTGGAAGGTCTAAGTGTTAAAAATCCCCATGAAGCCGGGTGGTGGTGGCACACGCCTTTAGTCCCAGCACTTGGGAGGCAGAGGCAGGCGGATTTCTGAGTTCGAGGCCAGCCTGGTCTACAGAGTGAGTTCCAGGACAGCCAGGGCTACACAGAGAAACCCTGTCTCGAAAAACCAAAAAAAAAAAAAAAAAAAAAAAATCCCCATGAATAGGAGGAGCTGGGTACATGACAGTGGTGAGGAGAGCTTTATGAGGGAGCCTCTGAGGAGAGAAAATGTTTGTACATGCACCTTACTCAGAAATCCAAGATCACCGTTAACCCCAGCACTTGGGAGGCAGAGGCAGGCGGATTTCTGAGTTCGAAGCCAGCCTGGTCTACTGAGTGAATTCCAGGACAGCCAAGACTACACAGAGAAACCCTGTGTCGGAAAAAACAAAAAAAAAAAAAAAAAGAAAGAAAGAAAAAGAAATCCAAGATCAGCATGGAAATAGCCAATCACACACTGGCTTTGGAAGTTATAGTGCCAAATAATGGCTGGAAAGATGCCCAGCAGTTAACATTGTCCATCATTCTTGCTGAAGATCAGGGTTCAGTTCCCAGCACTCATATTAGGTCACTTACAACCCACCTGTGACGCCAATTCCAAGAGACACGATGCTCTCTTCTAGCCTCATGGGCACCTCAAAGGTTGCTCTTGTAGCTTTGCTAGATTTGGGACAGCCTAGTGAAGCAGCCTGGAACTACAGTTTCAGACAGTTGTCAGCCACCATTTTGGTACGAGTAACCAAACAGGTCCTCTACAAGACAGCCAGTGCTCATAACTGGATTAATCTTTAAAATTGTGTGTGTGAAATGATGTGCATGTGGTGGCACACATGCCACAATGCACATGCAAGCCAAGATGTGTGTATGTGCAGTTCAGAGGACAGCTTTGTGGAGTGGGTTCTCTCCTTCCACCTTAATTTGGGCCCCAAGGATAGAACCTGGCCCACCTCTAGTACATGACAAGCCCGTTTACCCACTGAGCCATCTCCCCAGCCTCAAGTTTGGGATAATTATTAACATGTCTTGTATCTTCATAAAAATGTTCAGATCTGGGGACTCCTGTTTATTTTTGAATCTGCACCTATCCATAAGCTTTGCTCCTGCTTAATCACAAAAGAAACTTACGTTCTACTTGGTGTAAGTTTTCAGTAACTGGGGGCTACCACAAATTGAAAACTGTCAAAGGGAATCTGGGAGAGGTGAGTTGTCCAGTGGTCAGACACTGGAAGGTACTTTGTTGATTGGCACAATGAGTAGTTCCATGGAACTCTGGTAATGACAAGCTCCCCCTGAAATACTCCTACACTGTGCTTTTCAAATGGAAAATAAGTAGTATTTGAGTGCCAGTGTCTTTATTCACCGTTTTACTAGAAAGGAGACAATGTTAACAATTTACGTGCTAGTCGAAAAGTGTTTTGTAAACCCAAATGTGTTTACTAGGAATTGTAAAATGTTTAAGCTGTAAGATTTGAAGGGACTTTTAATGGTAAAGCTGCTACAAAGCATTTCAGTTTTAAAACATCAAAGGCCAGTGTTTTTCTGCACAGCAGAACTAAAATGCAGTTTAACCACTGGTTTACAACTTGGTTAAAACCCAAAGCTGCAAGCCGTTTTAGGGAGTCAAAAGATATTTCGCACACTTTAAAAAATCGTTCAGCTAGTCTCAACCATTTGTTTTTATTCTCAAAGCATAAATGCTCGAAAGTAATCACATTCGTTAGCTGGATGCCTGGCAAGCAAGACATATTTAAATAATGAACAAGTAAGTGAGCAAGCTCTCTTCAGATTCAATTCAGTCCTTCATTTGAGCTGATTCCCCTTAATTTATTCACAGAACTTTAGGCTCATTTTACACGTCTGCTCACACAATTAATTACCAGGATTGAGTTCTCCAACACTGTAAAACTAGACCAAGTGATGCCCATTTACAGCATGTGTCTGTCAGGTGGGGGAGGGGATTTATTACTCTGCCTTTAGCTGAATAAGAGGCATGGAGTCATTTTATGAGTATTTAAGGGAAAACAGTCTCCTCTCGCCTCAAAGAATATAACTGTTTTTTAATCTCTAGCATAATTCTTCCAACTATGAAATCTCAGAAGAGGAAGTGGTCCCAAGGAGGAGAGTCCTTCTAGGTTGGAGTTCATTCATTTCCAAGTGGCCTGTCCAGCTCCTGACCGCTTTAATGCCTAGAGAAATCCGTTTCCTCTGAGCCAAAGTCGGCCTCCCGACTGCATCCCCGAGGCCCCACTGGTCCGTGCCGAGACGTCGAGTCCAGTCACCACCTCCTTCTCCTCCAGCCAGGCGGACCGCCAGTCCACTTCTGTAGGGGCGACACCCAGCCCACAGGCCACACGCCCCGCGTGTGCGGCGCCTTTATTTACTTGCAGAAGAGCCTTCAGCACCCCCTCCTAACAAGTCTGGGAAGCATTACGGCGACGCGATGTTGGGGACACTGGTGAGCGCCCTCGGGGATACCGGCGAGGGCATGGCCGAGGCCAGGCTGGGGCTGAGGGGCAGGGGAGGAAGGCGGGACGGCCCGGAGAGGCGTCTCACAGGCACTCGCAGCCCGCCGCGCAGCAGCCCGGCAGGCACACGCACACGTGCAAGCGCGCCCACCACCCGCCCCAACAGCGCGCCCCCGCAATGCTT